TTGTTGTTTGTTTTGTTTTGAGATGGGGTCTCACTATCTTGTCCAAGCTGGAACACTCTTGCTCCTAAATGTCCTCAGCGTCCCCACCCTGCATAACCTGTCCCTTCCTGAGAGAGCCCATGGCTTGGGCACGCTCTGCCCTCCTGCTCCTCCCTGCTCCTTCCCCGTGTGGCCCCGAGTAGCACATGGGGCCTCCTGTTTCCAGGGCTCTATAACTCTTGTCCCTCATGACAATCATTTCTGTGTCTGCTGTCTGACCATCCCTGATTAAAACAAATCCCAGGTATATTTTAACACACTCCCTGAAGCAGAGGACTTTAGAGACTCCCAGTCAGCTCTGGAGAGTCCATTTTTGGAGGGAAATGGAGAAAATGGAGTGACCCAGGGGAGCCAGCCAAAGTGGCAAGGTGTCTTCCGGCTCACCGAAGTGCTGTCATGAGGTCCTGGAAGAGCAGGGCTCGCACCTGTGCAAGACTCGAGAGGCCGGATCAAGGGGGAGGAAGTTTGCTGTTGCCCCAGGTTATGGAGGAGTGTAGCGGGTGGAAGGGCTTCCCCCAAAAGATACGTCCACATCTTAACGCCTGGAACCTGGGAATGTGATCTTATTTGGAAAAATGGTCTTTACAGATGTAATTAAGGTAAGAATGTCAAGACGAGACCATCCTGGATGGTCCGGATGGATCACAAATCCAAAGGCGAAGGTCCCTGTATGGGACAGAGGAGGAGGCCACGTGAGGACGGAGGCAGAGACTGAGTGACAGCCACAAGCCGAGGCTGGAGGAGGGAAGGGAGGGATCCGCCCAGAGCCTCCAGAGGGAGGGTGGCCGTGCTGATACCTTGATTTCTAACGTTTGGCCTCTAGAACTGTGAGAGAATAAATTCTCTTGTTTTCAGGCACAGAGTTTGTAGTCATTTTTAACAGCAGCCACGGGAAACTAATGAAGGGCAGGAGGGGACCCAGAAGGATGGGTCAGTGGATTTTTAAAAATCCAGGATTTTTAACTTTTTTGTAACTTTTTTTTGTCTTTGTATATGCTATTAGGACTACTCAAATTACTGCATTTTAAAGTCATTTGGAGGCCGGGCGCGGTGGCTCACGTCTGTAATCCTAGCACTCTGGGAGGCTGAGGCGGGCGGATCATTTGAGCTCAGGAGTTCGAAACCAGCCTAAGCAGGAGCGAGACCCCGTCTCTACTAAAAATAGAAAGAAATTAATCAGACAACTAAAAATATATAGAAAAAAAATTAGCCGGGCATGGTGGCGCATGCCTGTAATCCCGGCTACTCGGGAGGCTGAGGCAGAAGGATCGCTTGAGCCCAGGAGTTTGAGGTTGCTGTGAGCTAGGCTGATGCCATGGCACTCACTGTAGCCCGGGGAAAAGAGTGAGACTCTGTCTCAAAAAAAAAAAAATAATAAAGTCATTTGTAATATGGTGGTTACACCACCAAATGGATACACAGTTAAGTTTGTTGGTTTCACTTTACTTTCAATTTTTAGAGATTACTTTTTTAAAGTGCAATTTTGCTTTATAATGACATAAAATGTCTAGAGGATTTAAAAATCAGATTAAAAGGAATGCTCAGAGAAGTCCACCTTAAGCTCCGCCTCTTCCATCCATTCTCCCCTGCCCCGCAGGCGCTGTTTACCTAGCTGGCTATATTGGTGTCTAGGAAGATCTGTATTTTTGTTCTAATGAATACCATAAATGTCTTTACATAATAGTGTTAGTCTATTCTGATTTTGGCTCTTGTGTATTGGTTCTCTCCTGTGATCAATACTGGAATTGGCTCATGAACTTCTCCCTCCACATCTGGTAAGAATGTCATTTGACTCCCCTCAGTGACTATACGGAAACCAGCAGGTCGATTCCTTTCACGTGTACTCCCCATTCTCTGCGTTTCTGACCGATGTGCCTACGCTGTCAGAGCATCAGCCACTATGACTCCAGCACGTTCCTTATAATTGTCATTTTGTCTCAGTTCTGCAGAGAAATACACATTCGGTCCCCAGTACTGGTCCTCACGTTCACCTCTCCAATCCTCTTGTCTGAAACGCTTTCTCTGCATTCCCTGAGGACTTGTGTGTTCGAACAAGTTTCTTTGTGGCCTTTATACCTGCAGGGTCCTCTGCCAGCTGGTACAGTGTTGGACGTTGACAACAGGCCGGCACCGCGGGAACATGCCAGGCTGGAGTGGCAGCACACACTTCTCTTTCAGCTTCCGGTCCTCACAGACCTCGGAGAGGCTCTGGTCTCGGCCACACTCTCCCCACCCCACCACGTGTCTCTAGGCCACACACTCTGCAACCAGGGACATTCAGGGATGGTTCCAGCCTCTATACACCCTCCAGCAACAACGGGTCCCTTCCACAGAGCAGCCCAGGCCACACTGAGGCTATTGCCCCCCTGCCAGCAAGTGGCTTGGTCCCGCGGTGTCCGGGGCCTCTTTGAAGAGGTTGGAATGTCGGCCTTGGGGAGAGGGAGACTCTCCGAAGTTTCTTCCTGGTCCCTGAGCTAGCAGCTGTTACCTTGTACCTCCTTCACCTCTCTCAGTGGCTAAGCACCTTTTACTGGTTAATCTGTTATATTAAACGTGCCCTCTTCTATCTCCTGCGGAAACCCTGACTGCTCCTTCAGAACATGCAAAGCTCCTTGCATCCCCTAACGGATGTGCACTCTACTGAGGCAGTTGACTTTCTGGCCAGGTCTCCGGCAGGTGGACAGTACTTTCCCACACGGTTTGTGTTTCGTGTTCTTTTGATACATGCCTTTTTGCTGCGGCAGTTCCCCTGGGCACGTTTATTCACTCTACATGACTAAGAACTTTGCACTTAGGCAAAATCTAAGGTTTATTTTCTTCTTATCCCCATATATTGAGGTATTAGAATTAAAGGAAAAATATTTAAATTTTTCAGAGAAGTTAAAGTCTTGAGAGGTTTAAAGCAACTTAAAAATTATAAGTTTTTAAAAATTCCAACTCTAAAAAGTTACTTGTAATTTTATGAATAACCTAGATACATTGCCCATTCTCTGGGAGGGTGCCCAAAAGTCCAGACAAATGATCAAATAAGATACTTTTTAGCGTTTGATGAAAAATATACTTTACACACCTCTGTGCAAAAAACTAAACACTCTTTTAAATAACAGCAAAATATTTCTCATAACTTTGGGTTTTCACAGTTCTTTGGACATTGGTAACATTTATTGGCATGGCGGCCAATCTGCAGAGAACCAATAAGCCAAAGCATTTCCAAGTTCTCAGGAAAATAATCTGAAATGTATTCACTGGCACTGTCATTTTGAAGACTTTATGAAAGGAAAGCAAGAAAAGGATCTTGGGTGCTTATTTCCATGCAAAAGGACCAAGCGCTGGTCCACACTGCTGTCCAGGAAGCTCCCCAGCCCTGCACGCTCTGCCAGACCGCAGGGCCCCCGGGGCCCACCCTCCTCAGAGCAGATCAGGCCTCAGCTGACCACATCTTCCAGGGGTGGTCAGCAGGAAGCACAGAGCGAGGCCATCTGCATTCCTGCCAGTCACCGGCTTTGAATCGAGAAAAAGAAAAGCCACTTTTCTAACTGCCCATCCTCCCTCCTACTCTGCAGTCTCCAAACAGATTACTTTACTAAAAAAGATTATTTTACTGCTACGAATTTCTTACACTTAAGGTCCTTACAAGACAGAGTGCAGAGCAATGATTAAACAGGCTCCACGAAGCATCTGTCATACTAAATTTCCATGAAGAGAAAAACTCACACTACAGATGCATGTGGTTAATAACAAGCTGTATTTGGTGCCAAGGTTTTAAAAAGCACTACTTTGGCATTAAAATGCGTTCTTCTCTGTATTAATGGCCTATGTCTTCAGAGTCTTCGAGTTTTTCTAAATTGTCCGCTTTGGAAAGAAGAAATCTGAAAGTCCTATCATGCCGTTCTTTCTAGATTCTCTGAATTGGAAACAGACAAAGACACTTATTAGTAATTTCTCACAGCACATTAGTAAAGTTTTTATAAAATGTAATATAATTTAAAAGGTCTACCTTAAAAAACTGTCACTTATGGTCTCTCATCAGTAATTGTTACCTCCAAAAATAAAGCGTTTTATTTTCTTGTAGAAATATACAGTAACTGCCCATTTATTTTAGGAAAAAATATCAGTATTATATTCATAATTTTTCTTTCTTAAGAACTTGTGGTCTCAGGAAAGTAGAGGTCTACCTTAAAAAACTGTCACTTATGGTCTC